GTTCTGGTGGTGGGCGGGTGGAGGGTCCATGGGACCGCTGTACGGGGAGGTCCTGACTCCACCCGAGAAGGTGGGCGCCTGGGCAGGCAGCTGAGGACAGAGGCTTAGGCGGGGCTGCGGGGACTCAGACACCGTGCTCCCCACTGGGAAACTCAGGCACATGTAGACAGAGGCCCCTGGGAGGAGGGGGGCCGGTCCCCTCACCCCACCCTCTGCCCCTGAAGTCCAGGTGCCCAGGTGCGGAGCTAGGAAGGGTGGAGGCTGCAGGAAAGAGGCTCTGGTTCGAACCTGGCTCGGCTACTTCTTAAAGATGACCGTGTAGTTAACCTCTGTGCTTCGCCATCTTTACAATGAGAACGCCCACCTACGCTTGTTCGGGGGAGTGAGGGGGGCACTTGGAGTCGGCCTGCGGTGCCCGGCCACTGGGAGCCCAGCAGGTGGATGTAGAGGGAGACTGACTGGGAATGGAAGCAGGTTTCCAGCTTTGCTCACTGCCGTCCCTGCTGGGCCGGGGTGGGGGTGGACTCCAGGTTGCTGCAGGGCCAGGGGCCGCTCTGGGCTATGGGAACTGAGCGGGCAGGCGTGGCCTGGGTCCCGGTGAGAAATGAGAAGTGAGACTTGGGCTCCCAGGCAGGAGGTCTGGGCGGGGCGGGACAGGAACACCGTGCGAAGGCACAGTGAGGAGGCCTCTTGCTCAAGAGGGAGCCGGCTGCATAGGAAGTGAGATAAGGCCTCAGCGCAGGCGACAGCCTCTCCTTCTAAGGACCTCAGGCGCTGGGGCGACTGAAGCCGGTACAGACGACTGAGTAACGGGCCCCCTCCCCTCGGCGGAGTCCAGAGCCTGGGGCACGGGATTTGATGCCTCCTGTGCCCTGGGAGCCCCAGGTGGGGGTGTCCCCTGGTAGCCCTGGTCCTGGTGGGCGTCACCGCCGAACGCCTCGGCCTCGATTTCTCTGCATGGCCCACTGGGGCTTCCCCGAGACTGAGAGGTTGGGCGTGAGCCTCCAACGGGCATGCGTGGCCCTGGGAGAGTATCGGGGAGCTAACTGGGGGAAGCGTGGGCACCCATGGTGCCGACGTGTGGCAGCCGCCTCGTGGAGAGCGACAGCAACAATCCGGGAAAGGCTTCCCCACCTGAGCAGGGCCCGGCGCCATCTCACTGAACGTCCTCTCGCCTCTCGCCTCCCGCCAGTGGGCACGGGGCTTCCTCCCGGCCTCCCCCATCCTCGGGCCGCGCAGAGCCCGGGCTACACTGGACAGCCCACTGGCTTCCCTGCCCTGTGGTCCCAGACTGCGCTTCCGCTCCCGGCCAGGCCCCCTGCAACCCTCCGGCTCCAGAAAGGCCACCAGCCTCCCCTTGGGCACCTGTGCCAGCCCCCCCCCCCCC